AATTCATCACCCTCGTGGCCTTGCATGACTCCAGTAAAAGCCACACAAACCCCTGGGAGTCAGCTGTGCACTGCATGAACTGTCTTAGGGCTACAGGATGCTGACCATGTGTTTGGCACTCTGCTTTGGGCTACTGCATGAATGGGTTTGAAAGCATGATGTTATCTTAAAACTTGATTGCTCTATCAAAATGAACACAAAAATAAATTGGGATAATTCTTGGATTCTATTTATAATCTGGTTTTACAGTTCCACTTAAGGAATTCTGGCAATTTTCTCCTGTTTTGTGATGAGAGATATGCAAGCAAAAGAAGCAGATGATTGTATGAAGCCAAGATAGAAAGATGGTTTTGTGTTTTTTATTATGAAGGAATAAAGCAGTCATAATTTAGTCCATTAAATTAATGACTGTGTTTTGAAGAGGTCTATGGGAAGATGACAGTGATTGTATTTCAATGCAGAAGTTAGTTTAGAGCAGGTGATGCAATACTAAAAATATGGGTTATACTAAAGATACTGGGTTATGAGATCTTTGTCAGAGTGGAATCCTGAAGTGTTGAAATACTGAGCTTGGTTTCTTGAGTATCTGTCTTAAAAATCAAGTGATCAACTGAGCACAAATACTAGGCATTAAGCAAAAGAGGGTTTTAGTATATTCCCTGAAAATCTCCATAAGCTTTCTTAAACTTAGTTGTTAAGAAGCATGTCAGGTTTAGATAAGATAAACTTAAGGTGTGTCCTCCCTGGGGAAGGAAGAAGGTGGGTCTTTTACTAAGCTAACATGTAATAAAATCCTGTGGACAAGAAACAAGTGCTAATTTTTTTTTTGGTGAATTTTAAAGAGTTGCTCTTGCTTTGGTGCATTTTAAAAACTGGTGTGTCCACTGGTGAAGCTGGGGAATAAGCTATAAAGCAGGGCAGAGAGGAGAATAACATAATTTTGGGTTTAACTTTCAAAACAACTGCCTTACAGTGAACTCCTGAAAACCTTTTCTTTCTGTACATTTCTAACTATTGAATATAAAGCACTTTGTTTAGCTGTAGCACTTATTTGTGCTTGATGTAATCTTTGTGTGTTGTTGTTATCTAAGAATCTCTTGGGGTTTCTTTCATTCTGCTTTTCACGCTGTGTGTGTTTGAGGCAGACTTTTATTTTTTTACTCTGCTGTAATTGTCTTTATGCTTCCATTTTAAAAAAAGGGGGGGGGCAAACATCTGTTATGTAATGCATGAAAACTGTTGAGACTGTATGACTGTTGTGTAAATGTGTGCTGAATTCAGGTATTGGAATTACACATACAAAAAGGAGATGGGAATCCTAAGGTGGTGTCATGTGTTTCTTCACTCTTCAGGAATTCCCGTGAAGGAACTTGATGCCTGTATTAGAGAAGCGATAACAAATTCACTATACAGGCATCTAAGTTTTGTAGATAAGATATTTATCTCAGGCTGAATTTGCCTTTTTTATTTTTTTTACTCTTTTTTTTTCTTTTTTATCTCTCTGCTGTGTGGTGCAGAGTTTCATTAACTCTGTAGTCTACCTCAGTTGTCAGGTTCTAGTCTTGTCTGGGTTCTTATCGCTCCAGCAGCAGAGCAGGAGGGCTGGAGCTGTGCGTGCTGCTGGTATTGCACTAAATGTGTGCCTCTCATCAATTCTGTGAAGGCATTTGCATTATGGTTCAGGTAATTGCTGCTGAGGAATTAACCAGTTAACCACTGGGCAGTTCTTACTTATGTGGAGACCTGTATCAGCTTTTTCTGTGCGTCTGGTAAACTGAGGTTGTGTAAAGATGGAGATTGTCACTACGGCTTAACAGTTGAGTTTGACTGTGTTTTAACCACTGTTCTGCTATTGATTTCTACTTTGCCAGCTGTATCTGTTCTATATATGAAAATGTTGCTAAATTCTAATATAATTTTAATTTAGAAGCAATTTTCTATTATTTATCTACAAGCATTCTAATATGTTAATGCTGCAGAGTTCCTGGCTTACAGTCTTTTAAAACAGTATTTTCGGAGATTGAATGATAACTTCAAACCTGTTGTACCTGTGCAGCTGTGGTTATTGTACAACAAAAATGCAAACAAGTACAAAACTTGGTGTGATATGCAACAAACTCATCAGCTGTAGTAGAATGCTATGTGTATGAGGCAGAGTGGATTCTTTAGGACATGAGGTGTATTTTAAAGAGATCAGTCACTGTGTTTTACAAGTTGTGCAATTTTGGACTCTGTATTGGTAGTGTGCATACTCTTCCAGTGAATTTTATATTTAAAAATTCCCACAATTACCTTTTCCAGACAAGATTCTGAATTCTGTAATGTCATTGTCTGATGGCACCAGTAGATAAATGCAACATCTGTATTCATTTTTGCCTTTGGCATTGACAACAAAGATATTCCAAAAAATGTCCTAGGGGTCTGATGTTGAGCAGGATTATACTCACTCCGTATAATACCAGATAAGGTTGCAACAGCTGTTCTTGACTTAGGGCTTGAAGGAGAGATGGAGTATGGTTAGGTGTAAAATCCAACAGTTGCTTATCATGTGTAAATCCAATAATTTGAGGCATTAAAAAATTGGTGTCGCTTAAGGCATGTGCTGACTTTAAAACCAGATTTCTTCCAAAGTGTGTTTTGAATCCTTCTCATGTGAAAGATTCCTGTCTGAATGATCCTCACAAGTGAGAGGATGTGACAGACCAAAATGCAGCAGCCCTGTGGTCTAAGGAAGCAGTAGGATTTTGTCCTTTTCAGGTGATGGTATTAAGGCACATTTCAGGCAATGTGTACTTCCACATGTGTCAATGGTAAATCTGAGCCTTTGTCTGAAATGTAGCAGTGTCTAACATAACCTGAAGTTGTTTAACAAAAGTAAACAATTACTGTGGAGAGTGTTTATTTTTGTCACTTAGAGCATGTTAGTTTTGAAATTAAGGTTTTTTATTTATTTACTTAGTTTCTTAACAATTTTTTTTAGTGAGTGGTTTGTTTATTTCTGCTTTGAAGAAACATTATATGTTTCATATAATTCAGTGTCCTCTTCCAAAGCATGTCTACCACTTCTGTACCAAAGTGATCAGAGTGTAATAAATGGCTGTGGTTATTGCTGAGTATCTGTTGCCCCCCGGTTGTGTGGTACTAGTACTCTTTAGCATCCATGCACAAACTATCTTATTGACTCCCGTGTGCTAGACCTGTACAAAATGTACAGAGGAACCTTTTTTTCCTACTTCCTCTTTGTTAGTTGTGAAGAAACTTTTCTCCTGTATGCATACCTGCTGTATTATAGACCAGAAAGTAAAAACTGAGTTTATATAAATGCTGTTGATTGACAATGTATTTCTAAGAAATTAACTAGCTCTCCAACCACTTGTAAAACTTCTGTTTCAAGGCAAGTGCATTAATACTGCCATTTGATACATTTTTCATTATAGACAGACTTCTGGAGTGAAATCAAAAGCTTGTTGAAATAATCTTGTAATTAAAATATTTATGCATCCCAACCACAGTATGAAATAGCCAACAATCTTCTGATGTGCTACAAAATGGAGGCTTTAGGTTCATATCTAGATTTTGTGCCACCTGCTTACCACACTCAAAAATGGGCTGATTTGAGTCTTTTCCAGCTGCCAAATGGCAGTGATAGATCATTTCTTTAAAAGGGTCTAAGGGTATTCTATTCCTATGCTTTTACTGACTATATTAAATCATTCTCTTATCTGGTTGATTTGTTTCCGGGAGTGTAGCTCATGTCTGATCCAACACAGGAGTGCAGGGAATGGTTTCAGCTGGGCATTGCAGTGCCCCCTCCCTGGCTTGCTGCTGGCCACTGGATGTTGTGCTGTGACCCACATTCACCCTGCCTGCAAAGCCCTGTCCTCTGGCCCCCTGCCAGCTCTCCCGGCGCTGCTCCACTTTAGAGAAGTCTGCAGCAAATACGCAAACAGTGCGAAAGCAAAGAGGCTTAGAATCGGGTCCTTCTCTGTATGGTTTTGTTCTTTTGAGGGGATTTGTTTCATCTTTAGGTCCCATCATGCGTATAGAGCAAGTGATGCTTTAAGAACTGTGTTTAGAATTCAGTTGAAGGAGAGCTGGAGTACAGCTAAACAGAGGGTATGAATTTTGTATGTGGCTGAAAAAAAAGATAGTGAACTTGTTTCAAAGCGTTATGAAGCTGAACTTATACCAAGAGAAAACTAAATAGGTTAAGGTTTTAGGGATAGTTATAGAAGGCCCCTTGATCATGTGACATAACGTCCCAAAACACTGAGTGGTGTGTTAATTGGAGTGTATCACTCCTAGTAGGTTTAATAATTAGTTACACCTTGGCATAAAATGTAGTGGCATGGTTTAGTGCATGAGAGGGTTGAGTAATTTATCCAAAAAATCATGCTTGTGGCTTTGATAGATGCACGTGATCGATGAGATTGCCTTCCACGTAATGGGACTGTGCTGTGGTGTTTAAGAGGACTGGCAAACATACCAGACATCTGAATGACTTTATATCTCTTGACCCTAATAACTACAGAAGATGTTAAGAATTTGTTTTTAAAAGCTTGTTTCTATTTTCTACTCAACATTTAGTGGAAGTGAGGCACAAGAGCAGTGTAGACATGGCTGTAAGCAGCAGCTGGCAGACCCTTTCCCTGCAGTTGTGACACCACATTGTTTCTTTGGATACAATGAAACTGCTTTGATGTTTTTAAACACCAGTTAGACACTATCACTTACCGATAGCCAGCATAGCCACTGTGCTCAAAAAAGATGGGCAGGTAAAATACTATGTATAGAAAAATTGCTTGCTTTAAGTGTATCTTTCCATGCAGAGGGGAAAAAATGGGTTGTTTTTAGAAGTGGTATATTCTTTTCACCATGTTTAGGCATTATTCTTTAGAAGTATTTGTGCTTGGAGGCTGTGTTTAGTACCACTTGGTGGGGAGGGAAGTTATTCTTTCCATACACTTCTTGCAATCAAGTTGTGAGATGGTCTTTTTTGGCAAAGTTTGGAAATTGGTCACATCATTATACTTTAAAAGATAAACTTTTTTTCTCTGCAGGTGCACCTGTAGAGCCTTCTCCAGAGGAGCAGACAGCCTCTTGTGAAGGTAGTTGTTTTTGTGATGTTCGTAACATGATTTTTTAAAAAACACTGCAAATAATCTCTTTTAAATCTCTATGAAGTTTTTCCAATCTTCATTATCCTCATACTACTCTTATAAGACAGTGTGATTATCTGTAGTTATTTACAGTTTTATAGGCAGTTCAGAAAGGCTCATAAAGTGCATTATGGAAGATCATAGAACTAGCATGAAGCAGAATTTTCAAAATGAACCTGTATATTGAAAAGTTTTGGCAAGTGCCAAAACATCTGAACTATCCTTTTATTAATTTAGTCACTCAGTTTTCTTTGTTCTTGATTACTGTCATGGTGAATATGTGTCTTAAATGATTAATTTTTCCCCCTTTTTTTCCTCCTAGGTTCAAATGCTGCTGTTAACATGGAAATTTCAGAATCTGTTGGTAAGATGAGAATTGTTCCTTTTCACTATGATAGCACTATAATGTACTACTGCAGTGCTTTTGCTGAACCACTTCATGCAAAATAGTAGAGCCATTACACTTACAAATAGTCCTTAGTGGTTATTGTTATATCTTAATACTTGGATGAGGAAAGAGGTAATTGAACACTAGTATGCATTGAAAGCTGCAATTGGATTACTTGGACATTGTAAAATTATCTATGATTTATTAAAAAATAATTTCATACTACAAAATAGCCCCATTAACATGTGTGGAATGGTGAGTAGCAAAAAACTTTAAAGTGGTCAGCAATGTGAACAATCAGAACATGGAAATTGTATCTTTCTCATTGTTTTTATATGGCTTATGAGTGAACTTAAACTATAATCCCTCTCCTTTGCTTTCTTGACATTTGGTAGTGTGTCTCTGTGGATTCAGATTACTGTGCTGGTCTGAGTGGATCTTACATTAGCTTTTTCTGTGTGAAGTTGTTGCCTTGTTAAAACAAAACTTTCTGTATCCTAGATTTTTTGTCAGCACACAAACTAGCTTGAAAGCTCCTGGTATTAATTTCAGAAACAAGCAGCAGTTGTCCCTTTTTCTATAGGAAAATGTTAACAGACCTGGTAGTTAAAACCTTGTGATTGCACCTTTAGGGCAGGGACTTTTCCCCAAGGTAATTCTTTTTAATTTCTTTATCTATTTGAATATATCTAATTGATTCATTTTTAGTGGAAAATGGAGAGACAGAAATGTCCCCAGAAGAGTCATGGGACCACAAAGAAGAACCCAGTGAAGCAGAGCTAGGAGGTGGTCCCACAGGGGATGCGGGGCCTTCTGAAGAGAGCGCTCAGGAAATGATGGAAGAGGAGGAGGAAATACCAAAACCGAAATCTGTTGTAGCACCTCCAGGTGCTCCTAAAAAAGAGCACGTAAATGTAGTATTCATTGGACATGTAGGTAAGTTGTAAGTGAAGGTGAAGTAATTGGATCCGTCTGTTGTGTATTATCTAGAACTCAGAGGATTAGAAATTAATGCTATTCTTTGTATTCACCATGTCTTGAGGCTCATAGGAGCATTCGTTCTAACGAAGCTGCTCTGGAAAATGAAAAATTTAAAGGTCTTTCAGGGGTAGAGTGCTAAGGTTAGAGTGTGTTCTCTTGGACACAGCAGTACCTGTGTTCATGATTTCTCAAGCACCTGTTCAGTGCTGAAGTGACACAACTGTGTTTATGATCTAAAGAAAAAAATCAGAAAATTGTGCTTCTTTGCTGCTTATTTTAAATAAAAAGGGTTCTTGCTGTTAGATTCAAAAATTACTATTCTAAATACTAGAATTTGTAGGGTTACAACAATAGATTGGAATAATTCATAGTTAAAAGAAGCATTTATAGCAAAATATCTTCATTTAATAGTTTCAACAAGCTTCATAAAAACTTGAGCGGTGTCAGAACTAGAGAGGAATTATTGAATCACAAGTTATATAGTAAATTCTGTCTTTTCATTTCTATAGTTACTTATCACCTTAAAAGTACTGTAATTTAGTCCTTGGGTAAAGTCAGAATGGAGTCACACAAAGTAAAGGGGCTGTGGGCAAAGGTACATCCCAATATTGAAGAGCAGCCTGCACAAGTTAGGGATAAAGGAAGTAGGGAAGGGGATTTTGCAAGAGCTTCCCACCTGGCTTTAGCTGGATCACTGCTTGGTGAGGGGTTTTTGTTATGGATAATGCTGAATTTATATATATAAAAGCAACATGTTCAAAATTCGGTGTCATTTAATGGACAACAAATTATAATGGGAACAAGGGAAGATGCAAGATGCTTCCAAAAATTTAGATTATGGTTCAAAAAAGAAATCCTTTGGAAATAAACTAGATGACTTAGTCTGAAATGGTCTGCTGTTTCTAGAATTGTAAATTGTTGATGACTTGAATTAATTTTTTTTTAGATGCTGGCAAATCAACTATTGGAGGACAAATAATGTAAGGAAACTTGAATTTTTTGATTTCCTGTTCTTGTGAATTAAAAAACATCAATTAAAATTAGTATTTTCTTTGTGGCTTTAACCAGCATATGTTAATACTTTTATAACAGAATGTTTCTATTCCTGTCAATTGAGGTACTTATTGTCTTTGGAATTCTTAAATCCCGTGCATTAATGTTATTGCTATAGGATTTTCACTTAATAGAAGCAACTATGCAAAAGCAAACATTATCAAATTTTAAAAATTAATCCCTTTCTTAGAACATGGCTCTTTTTCTTTGTATTTTAAAATGCAGTTTGAAACTGCTTTATACCAGTGGTTAAACTTTGGCCCTTCTGTGAAGATTTTAAAAAAATTTAATATCTTTATGTCCCAATCATAATAATCTTTAGGGATTGTATAAGTTAACTATTTGGAAATATCTTTCTACTTTGTGTAAAATTGCACTTTTATTTTCCCTCTTCTTAGGTATTTGACAGGAATGGTTGACAAAAGAACACTTGAAAAGTATGAAAGAGAAGCTAAAGAAAAAAACAGAGAAACATGGTATGAACTTTGTGAAGATAGTAGCACACTTTACTGCAATGAAACTGGTTTTAGTCTCTGTCCCAGTAGGCCTGGCTTCCTTCAGGCAAGATGGTGCTCTTGTCCTGGGTGGATTTTTTTTGTGTGCCTCTTGTTTGGTTTGAGTTTTGTTGCTCTTTTTTGTTTGGTTGGGTTTTGGGGGCAGTGTGTGTATACACAGCACAAGTAGTAGCCTGAATTCTGCTTCAAATAACTCCTGAAAAATTGATTTCCCTTTTAAAACCTTTCTCTTTTTGGCTGGAGGATAATAGGGGTTTAAAGGGCTCTGGAAAAGGAGCAGCTAAAGACTTCCTTAGGGGTAGAGCAATGGTGGGAGTCCTCAGGGGAAGGGCATTGACCTGAACTCACTGAATCGTGTGAGAGTGGAATAGAAAGGGTAACATAGTTCTTTTCACCAAGCAACCATCATCCAAGCAGCATCTCTTCAGACATTAGCCAGTCACTACAAAACAAAAGCTAAGGATGTCTACCAGTTGCTGTTAATGATGAAAAATATTGCTAAGTTAAACCAGTTCAATGGAGTTATCTCGTTTTTATCCTTAGTAAGAGTATTTTTTTTCTTCTTTATATTCACCAGTTTTCACAAAGCCTGAAGGAGTTAAGTAATGGGGTTTTTTTGAAATTTCAGTTTATGTAACTGGAAGCTAATTTGTTGGTAGCCAGTGGGAAAAATTATTAGGAGGGGACAAGAGTTGATATAATGAAAATATCAAAGATAGTGTGAATAAAGATGGTGTGTATTTCATAGCTAACTTCTGCTTAATATGTGAAAATAAATGAGAATTAATAATTCTCAGTAATGATATATGCAAATTAGAACTAATGTTTTCGTTAATTATGCTGAGAAGGAAGAATTGTTTTGTATTGGATCCTGAGGTGTTTCTGAGACTGAGGCAAACCTTAAATTACTTGAGGTTAGATCACAGCTGAAGAACTTAGAAAATGAAAATTGTTTATTAGAATTTTTAGAATTGAATCCTTGTAGGTGTGTGAAGGAGAGCAGGCAATGGGCTCTGCAGCTCACTGTACACAAATCAAACAAAGTCACTGTTGATCTTAGAAATACTTAAGTTTAGCAATGCTGAAGTGGTTAAAATAATTAAGCAAAAAAAAAAGGTCTCTTATGAGTAAAATATCATATATAAATTTAATAAAAATTAATACAACAGTAGAGTAATTGGGTTGGGATTTTTTTAGGTACCTTTCATGGGCCTTAGACACAAACCAAGAAGAACGAGACAAAGGTAAAACAGTAGAAGTGGGTCGTGCCTATTTTGAAACGGAGAAGAAACACTTCACTATTTTAGATGCTCCTGGACACAAGAGCTTTGTTCCAAATATGATTGGTGGGGCTTCTCAAGCTGATCTTGCTGTGCTGGTAAGGACAAATCAGATAGTTTTATTTTGCATATACTGTGGAATTAAGCTTCTGAATTTTATTTTTTTGTTTGCTTCTTTATTCTTTTGGTTACTTACAGCAAGCAGAATTTTTAAATGTTAAGTTTACTGAGATGAGTGAGTTTTGGAGTAATTTATTAGCTTCTTGTGTCATGTGATTTTTTTATACATGTCAGTGCAGAGACTAATGGGTAATACTGAGGATATACTAGTGCATTTTGAAAGCTTTTACTAGGTCTGACTACCCAGAGTTTTTTGAATAAGGCAGTATTGTTGATTGCTCTGCTGAGAGAATTAAAATATGTATCTTTAATTAGGTTATTTCTGCAAGAAAAGGAGAGTTTGAAACTGGATTTGAGAAAGGTGGACAAACAAGAGAACATGCCATGTTAGCAAAAACAGCAGGTGTAAAGCATTTAATAGTTCTTATTAATAAAATGGATGATCCAACTGTAAACTGGAGTAATGAAAGGTAAGTTTAATATTAAAAAACTAATTTTCATTGACAGATACTGCAATAAAAGAATTCCTGGGTCAAGTAATTTTTGTATCCCATTGTTGCTGAAGGAATGGTTGACTGGTGGACTAAAGGCAGATGTTATAAAACTGGCAGGAAAACCTGCATCTCAGTGTCTAGGATAGTGCCTCTCAATGAAGCTGGAAGTTCTATACTCAAACATTCACTGTCAACTGCTTAGATCCATGCAGACATATCTAACAAACCCATGCATTCTATCATAGTTGAATTGTTGACTTGGAAACTTTATACTGAGTCTAAAAAAGGAAGTGAGTCGAGTTTGCCAGAGTTGTCAGAGAACCCTGCTGTGTGTTCTGCCCAGAATTGTGGAAGTTTTAGTGGAAGCCATGAGGGCCTGTGCAACCTTGGAATGTCAGCCTGCCTCACTAAGGCACATCCAGTTCTCTGTCTTGGTCCTGCCCTAACCTTCTGGCATTACTGAATTCACCCCAAACTGAGAGGAGGCAGTGTGACAGGAATAAATAGCATGAAACCTCCAGAAACTGGAGGAGGAGACGGAGGCAGCACGGAAGTGCCAGCCTGGAGCATGACCTCAGGAGTTGTTTGCATGGTCTGTCCTGCTGTGCTGGCCTGGATCTCTTGCTTTAAGCAGTTCCAGCTTGTGCTGCTGCTCCCCTGGCCCTGTCATTGAAGTGTATGGAGAGCAGTGACAGTGCTCCATGGAGCAGAGGAATGAGGGGAATAGACAATACCGAGCTGTGCTGGAGGGTTGGGGAGAAGATGCAAATAGGCCTCCAGATTTTTATTAGGCTTGCTTGCTGCTCACAAAGTAACTTAGCTGAAGGAACTGAAATGTCTGCAAGTTTTTAAAAGCACAGGATTATGTTATGCCGGAATAAGTGGAATTTACCTTGATCTGCTTGTCATTTTAATAGATATGAGGAATGTAAAGAAAAACTGGTGCCATTTTTGAAGAAAGTTGGCTTCAATCCCAAAAAGGACATTCATTTCATGCCCTGCTCAGGACTGACTGGAGCAAACCTTAAAGAACAGTCAGAATTCTGTCCTTGGTATATGTATGTATCTTAAATTGAGCAACTTGAATATTTGCTATGTTTAAATAAAAGTAAATGCTTCAGTGAAGCTGGGAGGTAGCAGAGCGTGGTATGTTGTAGTTGTGTGCCAAAGTGCTTGAGGAAATACAGCCAGAGCAATAAGAACACAGCCATGCAACATGCCAGTGAAAAGCATTTGCAAACTTCAGAAGATTATTAGTAAAATATTAGCAGTGTTCCTTGGCTGTGTGAGTTCAGTCCCTTATGAGCACTTGAATTTGCCAGTGATGCTACAGCTGACATTGCTAGAATAAGTAATTGTTTGATGTGAACAGTTTGCTTGAAGCTGTATTATAATTAGGGACAAGCCATGTCTCTCAGTGGATGTCATGTTTTTCAATATTGTTCAGTGTACTTTAAAAGGAATTAATGGAAATCACATTTGGACCTAGCTCATGGTTTTGTATTTCTAAGAATATGTTGCACATCTGTCGTGAGTCTCAAAGGAATAATTAATTGGTGTAAAATATGCCTGTAATGTAACTTAAAAACATGCATTTCCTGGGTATTAATATGTTGGTTGGGGTAAAGTGGACACTACTGATGGGATGTTATAATATATTTAAGCTGTCTTAGAAGTTATTGTTCTAAATGACAAGATAAAAATGATTCCTTTGGTTGGACTGCATTTATCCATTCTGAGTAATTTTTTAAAATGGAAGGGTGCTCACAAAATTGAAACAAATTCCTTCTGCTCTTTTAGTGGATTACCATTTATTCCATACCTGGATAATTTGCCAAACTTCAACCGTTCAGTTGATGGACCAATCAGGCTGCCAATTGTGGATAAATATAAGGTACAGATTAAAATAATAACATAGAAAGTATGAAGAGGCTGTTTTCAGAAAGCAGTAAATGGACTATTTACTATACTTTTAGAGAGTATCTTTTTTCTTCGGTAGTGTTACATTTCCAACTGTAGAATAGAGGAGGGAAGGGGAAGTAAATAATTTTAGCATTATATGAAACTCCTAAAATCTGTAATCTTTCATGAGAACAGTTTCCAAAATACTAAATCTAGCAGTGCTAGATATTCATAGAGTGAAGTAATCAAACTCAGAGGTAAATCATAAATAGAGTGGACTCTTTAGGAAAATGTTTTCAGTTGCTCTGTAATGATTTCTTTCTGTGAAGGACATGGGCACTGTGGTCCTTGGGAAGCTGGAGTCAGGCTCTATTTGCAAAGGACAACAGCTTGTGATGATGCCAAACAAGGTACAGTAAGGTTTAGATATTTAAAAAATCTACTATCATAAAAAAAGAGCTTGGTTATTAATGATACTCATTACTTTAAATCAGAAGATGTTCTGTTGAACAAAAGTAAGCTCTCACGTTTTCAGGGTTGATGTTTCTGGGGACACAGGAGGGTGTGTGTAGCTTCTTAGCAGTCAGAACTTGGGTTCTCCTGCCTTAGGAAACCCAGTTGCTGGACTACAAATCATCACACTTCAACTGGGTTTTATTTCATGTTTGTACTGGTGGCCCACTAAGCCTTTTACCTGCTATGGATTAATACTGCTCAACCGTTTATTTCTTTCCCCCAAAGGGAAACAGGAAAAAATACTTGAAAAAGAAAAAACTTTTTTTAAAAAATTGAAGAATTAGTAATTCATTAGTCAAATATTTTAAATGTTCCAAAGCTTGACAGAATTAAATATAATGAACTTAAACTGTAATGGAATTATTTCTTGAAATAGTGTTATGTTACAATTATTTTGTACCAGATTAAAATATTCATAATGCAAAACTACATATTTATTTTCTTTAAGCACAACGTGGAAGTTCTTGGAATCCTTTCTGATGATGTAGAAACTGACTCAGTAGCCCCAGGTGAAAATCTAAAGATCAGACTGAAGGGAATTGAAGAGGAAGAGATACTTCCAGGATTTATTCTCTGTGATCTCAACAACCTTTGTCATTCTGGACGCACATTTGACGCCCAGGTAGAATAACAACATTTAATTGTATAGAGGGGTAAAAACCATGGAAATATTTCATGTTTTTCCAAATCAAAAACTTTAATAGTTTGAAGTTTCAGTTCAAATTTCTTATTCACTGCCATATGTCTAAATGGGCAATAACACATATACTTAAAACTGGCATCATTAATTTGAGTTTTTAAAATATAAGTTGTTTCGAATGTAACTTCTCAATGAAGTTTTAGATACTTATAATGGTGAAAGCAAGACCTCATCAAGCCAGTTCTACTTTACTTTCATATTATAAACTAGTGACTTATAAATGTTGGCTCTTTGACAAAAAATTGTGTGTATATTGTTCAATAGATTTTTTAATATAGTTCTGCATTGATTATTCTCTGTTCTTTTAAAATTGAAATTAGGAAAAATGCACTTATTTTGAATTGTTTTACAGATAGTGATAATTGAGCACAAATCCATTATCTGCCCAGGTTATAATGCAGTGCTGCACATCCACACCTGTATTGAAGAAGTTGAGATAACAGTAAGTGCCATTTTAAGTTGTGACGTGAATATAAAACAATCCAGTTGTTGGGATGAAGAGTTCTGTCATGTCATACATATGTAGTGCAACTAAAGCAACAAAGCTTCAGGCTTGAATGGAATTCTTGGTTGTGCACAACAAACAAAAATGGCTCTAAGTGTTAGCATAAACCTTCTGAAAAGTGGTGTACGACATGACTGAATAAATCATGCACTCTTTCATGTATTTGTTTGTAGGTATATTCTTTCTTAGACCAATTCTGTTAGTTTGTAAAGAAAAATAACCCTTATTTTAGTGCTCATGGCTATTTCTTTTTTCTCGTATACAGGCCTTAATCTGCTTGGTAGACAAAAAAACAGGAGAGAAAAGTAAGACACGGCCCCGTTTTGTGAAACAAGATCAAGTCTGCATTGCCCGTTTAAGGACAGCAGGAACGATCTGCCTTGAGACATTCAAAGATTTCCCTCAGATGGGTCGCTTCACTTTAAGGGATGAGGGTAAGGCTGCTTCAGCAGCAGGTACTGACTGCTGCAAAAACTTACTTGAACTTGGAGCTGCATGGCAGTGAGGTATTAAAATGCTGTTATCTAGTGGAAATCACTCTCTGGGTAACAATGAAAATGTAAATCTAAGCAAATTGTTGACACTGTGCAGAGTCCTTGCTAGTAACAGAGAGACAGTTTTATTTGAGTAATGTACAGAAATGTGTGTTCTGAAACAAAAGACTGGATTTGAAAAATAATCAGCAGTGCTTTTTTTAATGTGTCCTGGAACACCCACCTACAAAATGAATACCATAGTTTCACTACTTCAAGTTGAAAAATATCAGGTGGGGGTTTGTATGTTGGGCTTTAACATGCACACCCTGGTAAAACTCACAGATTTGTGGGATGCATTTAAAATAAATTATTTGAAATGCATTAAACAGATCTGGTAGTGATTCTGCCTTGCCTTCTCCTTAGGTGAGCATAGAAGCAGGTTTTCCACATTCCACACTGTGTTCTTTGCTGTCAGAATAGCAGTCTTACTATTTTTGAAATTTTATCATGCTTTTAAAATACACTAATGCTACAACATAATAATTTATTCTCTATGATTTCTAGTACTTGAGAGCCTGTATTTTGGGGCAAGTTTTCATGTTCTTGGAGATGTCTACATTCCTTTCACAGTAAATATAACACTGCTGTTTGTCTCCTTGGTTTAGGTAAGACCATTGCAATTGGAAAAGTTCTGAAACTGGTTCCAGAGAAGGACTAAGCATTTTTCTCAATGACCCCGCACAATACTGTGAGGAAAATCGACTCAGCAAAAGCCTACTTCACACCGCCGTCTTATTTTCTGCCCATTGATAAACTTCTCCCCATATTTTGCAAAGACAAATTTCACAGCAAAGGTCCACATTATGTCAGCTTTCTCATATTGAGAGCTCTGCTATGCCACTGTTGAATTTTCCCAAAAAGAAATTTTTTTTTTCTCCCAAATTCTGCTTCCTTGGAAAGATTCGGCAATAGCTTTGTAAGTGATGTGGACATAATTGCCTATAATTATGAAAATCTAAAGGATTTTTAATGTTTAATTTCCCCCAGCATCTATATTAAGATCTCTTTTTCCAGGCAGATCATTCAGAGTGTGCGAGTGTGTGTGCACATGTTACAAAGATGACTACCATGTTAATAAACTATTCAATTTGAAATCTTTTTCGGTATTGGAATTGCTTTTGAATAATGTTTTTTATCTGGATGAAAGACAGTTGCATTAGCTTTTTAACTTCCCAGTAACCCAGATACTTGGTTACTTGGACTTTTCTAAACTCCTCAGCCTCCCCACACACAGTTTTAAATGAGGCAATTGGGCACTCAACCAAGTTTGTATTAAAACAATTAGGTTTGCCCCTTCCATTTCTTTAATGCATTCTGAAAATTAAAAAAACTTTCATGCAAATGTGGCACCTTCATTAGCTTTACATTGGTTAATATCTTCAGCAAATTTAGGTTGACCTAACATCACTACTAGATACAGGAAGTCAATTTTGAAGGCTAGAACTACATATAGTGTCTTTATAAAAATTCAGCATTATTAAATTCTTAACTGCAGAAAATGCTAACAACCAGTAAATCAGTGAAACTTGCAAAAATAAGAAAATCTGTGGCAATAGTGCCTATTAGTATTTATAAGAGCTACATTTTGTGGGAGAACTGGGCCAATTAAAAAGTGCCAGTTACATAAATTACTCAGTTCACCCTGTCTTCAATTTAGAGGGCTGGATAATCCTTGCTGTTTTAAAGATCAGTCTGAACTGAGAGGGAGAAAGACTATTTAAATCCCTAAGACTTTGCACATACTGAAATATGGGAGGTCAGAATCAAGCACAGTCTGTAAATTTTTGCATATCAAAAAGCAATGTAAGCTTATGAGGACCAGTGAAGTTTTACTTGAGAAATTAAAGCAAAACTGGTTCAAAGTAAAGCTTACTCAGTACAACTTGAAGGAGCTGCATAATAAAACCCTATTTAGCTGCACTTTGAAAATGGACTGTCTGCAATTGCTGTCCTGATTCTAACAATTAGGATGAAGGCTAAGGGATTTTTTTCATTTTTCAGAGTATTAGTAGTAATTATTAAAAGGTATCTTCTGATCTTCTTCAGAATATCTTAAACATTCTCAGCTGTAAAATTGGTAAGCCCATCTTCTCCCCAAAAAGTTTACAGTCCAGTGACTGTATCTGAATTGAAACTCAAAACTGAAACAGATCTACCATTTTTTGGGATTTTTTTTTTGTTTGTTTTGTTTGTTTCTTTGTAACTGTGGAACTCCCATTCATTTCACTTACAGCTACATTGTATGGACAGAAGAAGTTATTGTCCTTCAGTTTCATATGACTACACTTGTAGCTACCGTAATGCATGGAATTTAAATAAATTTTATTATGTCTGCACATCTCTGGGCTTTTATTTTTTTGGTAAATCAGAGTTTAAAAAGTAGCTTTTTTTTTTTTCTACCAAGTGAACAAAACCCACTGTTCCTTGGATCTTAAACTAATGAAGAAATTAAAAGCCAGGGGAACTTACTGTCTTGTTCATATTCTGGACTGACAAGATTTCCTGATATCTGACTGCTTTCTTGAAGTAAGCTCATGGATTTGAAATTTCCAAAAAACATTACTGGAGAATACTTACAGTTAGATTCCTAAATTGTTACATCCTTTAAAATTATTTTTAAGGCATTGAACTGTATCTGAAGACTAAATGATGCTCCAGCATCAGTTTTCCACTGTTGAGCAAACTTAATGTGGGATTTTAAAACTTCATTATTTTGAGGCTGGACTGAGTATTTAATATTAAACTGAAGAATCACCTGGTGGGTTTGGAATATCAGTAGATAGAAAGTCTGAGTATTTCCATTACTCATGCCATCTAGTGCATTAGATTACCATTTCCATAATTCCAGTTAATGTCACCTTGTCTGTAAAGGGAGAGGCTGTATTATCACAGATTCACTAACAGAATCCACATTATGCAATTAAAGATACTCCTTTCCTGTAGGAGGTTTTTATTTGGGCATAAAATACTTGGATTCTATAGCAAATACATGAAAATGTAAGGCATAAATGTACACAAATTGGCTGCATTTTGGGTAGAACAGCTGGAAGTACATTGTATTTGAATAGTCCTCGGATTGCATCTCAACTTTTTCATTTCATCTCCATTCTACATTTTATAGTCCCATTTTTGCTACTATTAAATACAGCTAAGTCTAGATGAAAGAAGACAAAAAAGATAATGTGGCTTTGTTGGAAATAAATACTATTTGCTGATTCACTGATGTAATAAACTTTTTTAAATGACCATTTTGAATACTTCCTTTTGTGAAAATGTGGTATGCTGCTTTGAAGATGAAACAAAAATAAAGGAGATATGCAACCACAACAGTTGAAAGGAAGGGGGGGGGAAAAGAGAAAATAAAAGTTGGATTGAAGATACAGCACCCCTAAGAACACTACCAAGGTAAATGTAAGGTGCTTGCGTGGGATACTGGCACGGTATTCCCATAGCGTAGCTCTAACTCATAGAGCAAAACTCTGAGTGTTTCTGCAGAAAGGAGAGATTGGGGTGGGGTTTTTTTCCTCAGTATAATGGTATTTGCAGTGTGGTATTGATGAGGATCACATCTTTCTCTGATTGTCGGCCAAAGTTTGTAGTGTAGTTTGTAGGCTTGAGTGCTTAGCCATGATGTAACTTATAAAAACAAGTTATTATTCTATAAATTAAGACCTTGTTTGCCCTTGAACTGAAAACCTTGGTATATGTAACAAATATTAAATGCAAAAAAAATAAATCAGAATGTGCTAAAGTACTAATTATTTGGCAACAGGAAAATAATTCCTTGTTTCTGCAAGCTCCAAGAAGTAAAGCACAGTAGTTGGAGGAATGGGTGCAGAGATAGTTGAGTAACAGTGCCATCAACTGTCTATGTGAAACCATTCCAGCTACCTTGGAATCTTAGCAGACAATCAGGAACTGATTCACAAACATGATAACACCAGTTCCTGAAACACGTACTCTGGTAGTAAATAGTATTCCTGAACAGCAAGCCATTGATGATGGTGTAATAGTGTTGTAAGAAAAATAGCTGTTTTAAGGAGGTTTATCCATGGGGATATTTGCTGGTCGCAATTTTTGTGCCCCTCTATAGATTTTTTCAGTGGCATAAAAAGCCCAGTGAAAATTTCTCAGTGAAGAACCTCTATTTTAGATTACTTATGGCAACAGTCTATATATTAAAAATCATGTTAATGATGAGAAATGTGTCTTTTTAAGTGTTTATTACTGAATATTACCTAAGAAGAAAAGGTTGTTTCAATGTTCGAAGTATTTGATCTATTTTGCTCTGGCATTTCGGTTCATACCACAGGCTGTGGAAATGATGCTGTTAAAGCAGATGACATGTACACCAGACAAGACTGTTTTCTTCCTGAACTGGAACTTAAAGGCTCTTACTTTTTCTGCTGTTTTTGTATACCCTATAGAGGATTTGGTACAGAAAAATATACCAACAAAACTGGAGTTACTACTGAAGATTTTACATTGTGAACCTGTTTCTTTCCTTGTGTTTATTTTATTGCACTATAAAGCTGACAAGATACTACTTTTCCTCTGAAAAAATACTAGAAAGGCTTCTTAATGTAAAATAGAAATTTATGCTAACAAACCCAAAATCTGTTGTCTGTGTATATATAACTTTTGATAATCCATATCCTTTCATTGGCTTTCCTTCCAATGTAAATTTTCTACATCTCCTGTTAGTTCCATACACCCAAAGAAGTTCACCAAGTCCAAAAAAGTCTCAATAAGAGTAATAAGAGACATGACAGATTAACTGTTGGATGACAAAAAGGTACTTTAGGCAGTGTTCCTGTCATCTGTTAAGCCCCTAGAAGGGATGTGAGCAAAGCATTATAACAAGAAAGCTTTGCAGCTTTGTCCAGTGCCAGGGGCTCTGTCCTTTGGAGCATCCCTTGGTGTCTGTGGATGACTTGCACCGAAGCCTTGTGTCTGAGTCAGGTTCAAGCTGGAGGCTGACTACAGGATTGCAAAGGAACACAGTCAAAAGAAAACACTGTGTGAACTCTGGTCTAGGGGAGAGATTCTCTTCTGAGCTCTCTTGTAAGGCACTTAGTCCGGCTTTAATCTCTGCCATCTTCTTTGTGCCGGTTTTGTTGCAAGAACTACGCTTACAGAGACGTGGGATTTTGGCATTGCCATTAAATAGTCTGGAGGAACACAAGCTGGGAACTGAAATTTGAATAATCTTAAACCTCAAAGATCTCTTTACAGCAAAAACAATTGCATCTTGTACAACCCTTTTGCTGTGTGAAAGTATAAAATTAGGCCTATAAAGAAACATCTTAAGTAATGAAGTAGAACGTCTTGCAATTATTTTTGATCTTAGCATTTAAATAAGCAACACAAATGACTTAAAGAAAAATCTATTTTTCATTATCCAAAAAGTTAAATTGAGAGCTACAGCAGGACTGTGTACAGCAATAACACTGATAAAAGTAACAAACCTGATTTTCTTGTTGGAGTAACTGTAAATTTATGACATTGCTAAATTAGAAGTGCACTCTTTTATAGTTTATATGCATTGTATGCTGTATTAAGCTGAAATACTTCTTCTTCACAGATTGACATTATTTTTCCATGACAGCTTTGTTAGCTATGCCAAGTACGTTTCAAGAGAAAATTATCAGACTAAGTCAGTTAAACCACATCTGGTAAAATTTAGTCATGTCAGACAAAAATTGTTCAGAAAAATGTACTTGGATGAGACTGATATGTGAAAAAGTCAAATCTGAGTCACTAATAATAGTCGCTTCAGTATCATCCTATTAATGCTATACTGACCCAGTAAAGTCAGACTTCAAACATGCAGTTCAATCATATCTTACAAGACTAGCCTGGCTCATTTTCAGAGAGATGTTCCAGTCATCTGACTTTTTCTATTTTGCTTTAACGTATCACATTAGTGTGTTGATGTTTTATTAAAATATGGCTGCCCTAAAATGTGTAAAGATAGAAGCAAGCCTAATACAATTACCAGAATATACAGCACCACAGCTAGTACCACATGCAGAAATTCCAGCAGTACTAAAAAGGTTTTAATGACTCCGCCCTCCTTGGCTACCCTGCTTGTTCCTCACCTTCAGTAATTTTTCTGAGTACTTCATACAACATGGCAACAAAGGACAGCTTTTCTTTTTCTTAGCCACTTTCTTTTTTGTTTTAATTTGATTTTGGTTTTGTTCAAATAACACACTAGGAAAGGAAAACTTCCATTTTCCAGGATTTTTTTTCACTCTTTAATCAGTGTATGTCTGTATAGTTCTTTCCTAAGTCTAGATAAGTCTTGATGCCATCAACTATTACTGTAGCTCCAGGAACACTAACAGTAGAAAGAAAATATAAATCACTACATAGAGCAGCTTGCCAAGAAACTAGGGTATTTTAGTTTCTCTTTGCACTGGCCACAATAATGGAGCAACAAATTTTGTTCAAAGACATCTGATGAGAAAGAATAAAACCACACATAGAAAGGCAAAGAGCAGGAAAAAAAATCTAGAGAAGAGTGAATGACTAAGACTCCTAATTTCATGCATATTTAAGCCCTGGTTATGCCTAGCTCTAATATCCAAAGAGCAGCTTACATGTGTGATGAATGCAGATAACCCAAAGCTGCCAGGGCACACACAGCACTGTGAGAATGAGACCAGAATAATTCCAGGCTAGATTTTATCTCAGTACAATGTATTTATCCAGCATGGAACTCAATGGAATAAGCATTCTGCAATTAAGCTATTTCCATGTAATCAGCCAATGCATTTCTAAACTGAATAGGAGATGCAGCAGTTCTGCCTTTATTAGTCACACACGAGGAAGAAATGGTTTGACGTGTGATAATCAGTGGTTGCC